CGGCTAGTTCTGCAATATGCATTAGGCAAGTGCAGCAAGGCTGAAGGCCGGAATCGACGACGACGCGAGATGGAAGGGCTATTAGTCGTTGGCCTGTGCATGCACTTTTGTGGGAACGTTGCATCTGGATACGCGTGGCATTGCATCTTGTATATGTTGCGTGGTCGAAGGGGTTTGCTTGGCTGCAGAGATGTCTAGGGGGAGAGTTCGGTATGCTTTGGTGGATTAAGTACTGAGCTGGCGAATTTGGCGAAGGGGCGTCCTATCTTGGCAACTGCTGTATCGACGGACTGAGAGGAACAGATCGTGCGTGGTGACCTTCGCTATCTGCACTGGTTAGCGCCCGCTAATGTTTATGAAAATAGTCCCTGGTATCTCCAACAGTGCCAACGGGTGAGTTGACCCATCTTTGCTGTCTACAAGTATTGTAGTGACATATTCAGGCAGGATGCCGAACACTGGCGCATCTGAGCGCATGTTGTGGTGTTATCCATCATGCCGTTTTGTGTGGGACGCGGATGTTGAATATCGCGAATTGTAGCATTTAGTGCGTCAACACAGAAGGTGCGGGTCTCGGCCGGCCGTTGCTTGTGCGGATGGCCCCCAAGGAGCTGCCTGCTGCTGGCAAGATGCCCGGTTTCCGGAAGAAGTGATGAACGGCGGGGCCGGCACTTGTTAGGACAAGTATCACTGCATCTACAAAACCTGCGCAAGTGGAATTGCTCCCCTTACTTTTTTGCTGTGCAGTGGAACTAGATTTTGAATTTGGTAGGTTGTGTATGTGCATGCCTCCCAAGAAGTTGCTGAATAGGTGTTCGCATGGTCGTTGGAAGGCGGCCGGGTCCTTGCATTTGTGTTGCTACAGCAGGGCCAATTGTTTGCCAACTATACTGAACTTGTGTCGGGAAATTGCAGCGAGGCTGAAGACAGGGGTCGACGGCATGGGGTGCGACGCATGGGTTGTTTTCCGTTGGCCTGTGCATGCGCTTTTGTGGGAACGTTGCATATGGATATGTGTGGTAGTGCATCTTGCGTATGGTGCATGGCCGAAAGGTTTTTCGTGGCTGCAGATATCTCTAGGATTGCAGTTCTGTATACAGCTTCTCCGTGTGCCCTGACGGCTTGAGGGTTACACTGCGACAGGGCAGAAAGAGCGTTGATTTTGCAGAGCTTGACGTGTATCTGTGTGTTTGATTGGATGCTTGGTCCAATGCTGTGGCTTAAGGCGCTGTTTTGGTGCAGGGAAGAGCGGCTGACTACTGTAAAATGGAAAATAACGGATGGCTGCCGCCTCTTGAATTGCCAAAGTATCAGTTCTGGCGCCTGCGTTTGACCCAACAAAATGTCGTTCCTTTCTGGATTGTACACTGACACAACATGACCTTCAGAAAGAACGGTAGTAGGGCAGCCATTTTACTTATTATATCATCTGGAAGTTGTTGTATGGCATAAAATCTTGATGAGAGGCGGCACCTAATAATATCTACGGATTTCTATGAGCGTCAGAATAGTCAATCGCACATTAAGCTATATATAGGGGCATCTACGATTGTTTAACTACCAGGATTGACAGCTTGTGAAGCAACTCCAAATGGTTTTGGTTTTGCCTGGGCTCAGAAAGTGCGTCAGTCATTGCTAGAGATCAAAAGATAGTCAGCCTCTAATTCTGTACGACCTTCCCGGCTGCTTTGCTTTCAGATGGACTTCTAGACAAAATGCATGACATTGTTGACTTGGATAGGACTGAGCGAAAGCGTACTTCTACACGTCGTGGCTTAATTAGGTTCGCATGAATGGTAATGGCTGACAGAGTGTTGTATTTCGAGCTACCACCGACAGACGTACAAGAAAAACTCATGCGCTCACCGCGAGGCGATTTCTGTGAAATCCCCAATAAAATGCATGCGATCAGTTTCGTCTGTCCTCCTGAAGATTGTTTGTCTTAGCACATCTACTGGCTAGTTTAACAAACACGAAATGGCTCTAATCAACCATGCACGTATTAACTTTTTGCGCACATGAGTCATCAGAATTTCAAACATTCTTTGCGGACCTGCAAACAGAAAGACTTTCCTGTCCTGTTTATTGGATCATGCGCAACACTTCCCAACTCAGCGCGTGTTTCATAATTGTTCATTATCCATCTCAACATGGTACCTGTGTTAAAAAATAACAGAAAGTGAGTGGGAGACACCGCATGCAAAACCAAACTAGCTGGCCTGTGGCTATCAAAGCCTCCCAGATATTTTGACGCGCTGCTGCTGCGATGCGCATCAATATCAAACGTCGTAGAACTTTCGGCAGCAGTTCAACAGACATTACCATTACAATATTCTGCGGCTGTGTAGGGACAGTGCGGGTGCCCAGTGAAATTTCTGAGAGTTCTTTGGTTGTATTACCCAATGCAACCCGAAATTGGGGTCATGTCGGTCAAGCCAGGACTTTCCAACCTTCCAATTGCTGCGTATCATACGGATACCAAACTCAAGGTTCGCGCAGGATCGTATGGGTCCGCCCGTTGGTGGATAGCAGGGTTCTGAATGAAATAGCCTGAGACACTGGGTTTTCAAGGTCCCTGAGGAAGGCGTATCAACTATGCTGACACTGTAACTCAATATAGACGATAAAAAGAAACCAATGTAAAACCACGAGTGGGACTGGCCACGTCGGTGCAAGCACTGGTGACTTAGAAAACACAAGCGTTTGTGTCAGCGAAAGGGCACCGGCACCTGAAAAGTGAATGGCAAGCAATCCGTGAGATGCACAGGCTTACAGACTGCCGCAGAGGCTCACCCCGTAAGATGCCGAGCCTATACGGACAGATATATGCATTTCTTTCATTTCCATGAATATCAATTCAGGCCTCGACGCTTGCTTTCAAGGCAACGGCACAGCCTGCAGAGGGAACGAACAAGTGCTACGTGACGTGAGCTAGTTTCCAGCTTATATGACAGACCAGGCGGATTATGGTCACGCACTATGCAAACAGAGAGACTTTTACTCGACGGGAAAGACAGTTGCCAATGTTTGTATTTGGCGAAGCCCGCACCATTCACCGCTTCTCTCGATTGTGCAATTTGCAGATGACACTGCTGACTTGCTCTTTAAAAAACGTAGAGCGTGAGCCGCATGCATTAATTAACGTCGCCAAAGAGTAGGCCCGCACAGCTAGGACTTCCGCACACACAAACACAAGGCTGATGTTGCTTATTGCCATCTGCAGTTTTGTTTGCTTATGTGAACAGTATGCATAAGCAAATCACTTCTTACTCGTCCAGGGAGTGCGCTGCATCCTTCATGACGCAGCGCAAATTTTGGAGAAAGGTCTTGATATCTCGTGACAGCGGCATGTGAAGAGGCATATCGGATCTTGAAGCTCGCTCTGAGATGAATTTCAACTTGCATGCTTAGGGTGCATTGTTAGCTTGTGATTATATCAGGGACGTTCTCCTTTCTTCTTTAATTGAATGGTTATCGAGTTCCGTCCGATGAGGTATTAATTTATTGCATATATTCACAGGCTTCTGCTGGGCCCTCTGTTTGACGTCGAAATGTGCAAGGTAGGCGTTTGTACAGGAAATCGAATCTCCAGGAAGTGTGTCGTGCATTTCATTCACCGCCCCCTGAGTGCAGTTGCTTGAGAGCGACATGTTCCTTCAAGTACCTGCAGCGCATCTAATCTTAGGCTCCCAAATCGATATATTACAAAGGAGGCTTCAGAGCCACCACGGACTAAATTGCGTTGTAACCTACCTACCAGGTGAAATCAACACGGGCTTTCTAAGATGCTGCTACTATATTGGCCAGCGGTTGTTTCACTTGTACGGTGACGCTCTGATTTCAACAACCGTACCCATGAAATCATTTTGAAACAGGCTGTTTTCTGTAAAGGGAGTAAGCTGCCACTCAGCATTCGGCACAATAATTCTACGATTACGGAGTGACTGTCCTGCATCCCCATGATTGACTGGCTCGTCGTTGACCGCCGAGAAGTGGGTATGTTGCACAACATTGTCTGGCCTCTTAGCAGGTTCCCGTAGGGAGTGTCGGACGAACCAAGCAATGCGACCAATATACTATCAGGCGCTTGTTTGTAACTTGTGCTGACACATTTATGGAAAACAGCGGGAGTAAATGCCGTCGCATCCTGTTCAGTGAATTGCCCTTAATGCAAGCAATTTTCCAAAAAGACCGATGATTTTGGACATCTTCCCTCAATGCAGGGAAGTATAAGCTAGAACCGTTCGTGTCGCAGCTGTCTCGTCTAGAAAACTTGTGCGAGGCCGAAAAGGTCAGCCCTTATCAAGTCCTACAATTCCTGCTGCTGCAGCACAGCACAATGTCTCTACATGATGCATGGCAACCGGCTTCTTACGTGAAGACTCCAACTTGATGCGACCCATGCTAAATGCAGAAAGTAATTCGTTTGCTCGTAGCAGTAGTGTTGCCGTATCAGACATCGGTCGATACTGCCACTCATTTGCCTTCGCAGCAGGGCAGGCCTCACTGGCGATGTTTTTAACAGTGCCGCATCTGCGTGCAGCACCACATCATGCTGCTGGCTTGTTACTTTGTCGGCGGCCCTTGCTTCCACTGCTACATCATTCGCGGAGCTATAAGGGAGGGTGCTACGTGATATTTAAACTTCGTAACTCCCGAGTTTTGCACCATACAGATGGTATGCCTTTTTTCGTCCGAGGTGCAGCGTGTGCTAGTACTCCTAACCGAAAGGTAATGTTTTTCCAGAGGCGAAGTGTCGGATGTACCCGTACAGGCAGGCATCAAATGGGCATGTTGACTCTGGAGTGCCTCTTGTCCTTTTAGGAGCGGAAGGCACTTGAATTTTGGTCGAGCTGTATATCCGGGATTTCAGCTGGTGCGCCGACCCATCAAAGCTTCCAACGGAGCCTTTCCTATGAAAGAGCATCTGGCGTGCTGTTGTGCAGGTAGCTGCGTGTCGAGATTGCTTCGCTCTGCAGAAATCTGCGTGAATACTCGCTTCTCCGCATAATTGCTAGGGTGCGACAGTCTTTTATCTAGCGACCGTCTGTAGCTAACTTCCCTTGAAAAAGGATCCTGAAATATTAATGAACCGCCTTATACTACCGTGGAATCGAGGTGCCCAAATATGATGCGGTCCAGGGTGTAAGGGACGCTGCGTCATGTATTTGGTTTTGGTACCAGATAAGATGCTCCTGTAACTACCTCAACGATGCATTCGGTTAGCCTAAACATATCAAGGACCTTTGAGGAGAAAGAAGTAGTTCGGACAAACAACCCAAGTCATCCCCTGCGTGGTGGATTTACTTCGCCACTTAGGGTGTACGTGACAAAGCAATCGGTGGAGGTTTTCGGCTAATGTCCAAAAACCAAACCTAGAGTAAACGGTGTCAATTTTATTTCGATAAGCCGTACTTTCCCTAGGTGGTGACCAAGAACAATTTGTGTCGTTTGCATATTCAGGTCCTCTTGAGCCTGTTTGGACCGAGATTAGAATGGATTCGCGTATTGCCAAAGCAAATTTTGAGTTCCCTTAATGCTGCAGCTAGTGAGCCACTTGTTAAATTGGTGACCCCCATTTTTTTACTGGCCTGCTACTGATGCGAGGTAACAATGGTGTGTTTCACGTGGACAGCATTTATATTGAATCGACGGTTGCAAAAGGGTGGAAATGGAAGTCCACAGAACGGTTTGGAGAAGAAGGTCCACTTCCTCGTTCCCGGGGGTTACCTTGTGCCAAAGCCAAGTCTTTAGTTGGTACAGCTGTTCGTTGTAGGTGTTTAACGGGGCCATGCCCTCTACAACACGGATCCACCAGAATGTATCTTGAAGTTGGGGGATACTTTGTTTGTTTTGCTACTACTGTACCAAGCAAGACTCCTGACTATACGTTGCAGCCTGTACGTTTGGACTGCCGTATTCATCAGCAATATGCCTGAAGCAATCAATGATCCGAGTTTTCGCAGTTTCCATGTGTCGTTTCCCCTCATTCTAGACAAGGTATGTTGTTCTCGGTGGGAAACAGAAACTAACACGCCTTATTGAAAATGAGAGCACACGGGCATGGGGCGAAAGAGTTGTCTGGAGTTTGTGTGCAGGTTGTGCGTGCATTACTCTTTATGTTTCCACCTCGTTATAAACCTGCTTCTGGATATTCAGATGCTTAGACTGCGAGATTACGCAAGCCCAGCTTACGGTGACCTGGCAAACTGTTAACTCCGATTGGCAGCGCTCGCTCTGTGCCTTATGGATTATGAGCAACGTGTGCTGAAGCCTGCAGGCGGTGCGTCTGCATTCCATGTACCGAAAAGTTCACGAGGTGAAGCAGGGATTGTAATGATTCTTTCCAACAGTCGTACCACGTTTTTCTTCATGCTTAGCATATTAGGGCGTGTACTTTAAGGAAGTCTGCCAGCCAAGTTCGTCTCCATGCATGCCACTGTCTGATGTCCTAGGTTGTGCGCCAAACAGTAGATCATTCGCAGAATGCCTGTTATCATAGCATAGCAAGACTCTAGACGCACGGGACGGACATAGCGGTACACGGATTTTCGCCTATTCGTTTCAGCGTTTTAGTGTAAAAATTCATTTCAACATTACGCGCAATTGGAGAACGTGAGTCAACTGCTGCGCGGAGGGTGCTTCAAGGGGCTAAAAAGACCTGTTGGGTCCCCTAAGCTACATTGGATTAACTTTAGGTAGCCTAGAGCAACAAGCGGAATATTGCTTGTATGAACCAGTCTTGCGATAACTTCTTGGATTGTCGTTGAAAAAATGTGCAGAAATTATGTCGACTGCTGCCGCAGGCCTAGCTAACTCCCACGGAAACTGGATGCCGTTGTTCTCGCTGCAGCACTGAGCATCAGGCATGATGAAGCAGTAACATTTTGACTGGATCTTTTTTGCATCAGGGCTTTCAGGCCCCTTAGGTGTTGTATCGAACTCGAAGCATGTGGGTCAGGCGTATGCAAAGAAGAGGAACTGTAACAGCAGCTAACTGCGCTGCCATGCGGAAAGATGGTAGTCCTTTTGCACTCATTTGTTGAGTAGTTTCGCGCACAACCGTCTATTCCGCACACACGTTTCGCGTTGCTTTGCAAGAAGTTTCTGAAGGCGAGCATTAATTAGCCTGACTTGCTCCACCATCGTCACAATCTGGTGTTTGGTTCCTCAACATAACACACTACTGAACTTCGGAGTTTGCCATATGCGCCGTTGCTTGCGACGCCGTCTTGCTGACTATCACGGAAGACTTCGCTAATGCGTTGGTCTGGGTTTTTTCAAGTTGAAACGGCGGTACGTGTGAACTCTCTACAGCACTGTGCCAGGGCTATGTGCATTTCAGCATGTATGTCAGGTATTCCACGTGTTTATGGGAGCCTCAGAGAAATGCCTTAGCTGCCATTGATGACAATATCTGCTTAGTTTCTGGAAATGCAGCTACTGCTGTTGCTTTGTTTATCACCATTCTCTCGCTTCAAAAATCCATGCGCGCAACTATTATTCGTTGCTCGAAGATCAGCTATTAGAGTAACTGTATCCCTACAGCCGTTTAGCTCCCATGTTTGAGTAGTAGGCCTTATTGGCCATAAACCATCTTATGCAGTTCGTCTTGAATCCAACCTCCTCATCCTGGTCTCTCAATACGACCTGGATAGCTGTATACGTGACTCTGCCCTTTGCTCATTCTTCCCCCAGGTTCTGGCAAGCATTCGACCAGGTTGCTATCGAAGGGCGTGAGTCTCGTGTTGAACTCCGCGCATGCAATGAGGCTCTGTTTAATTTGCCTAAAACAGTGTAAGCAAATTCGGTTTACAGGAATGTGGTGCTTGTGCAGCCCGAGTGCGTTACAGCAGAACCGCCTTTTCGTGTAAAGTGCGGTGAGCATCATTCAGGTGAACTGGATGTCATTCACCATTTTGGGGGCGCCAAGTCTGCTTCAAAACACACTTAATAAAGCATTCGAGGCTCTGACGATTGTGATCGCAGTGCCCCTAACCACAGCGGCCTTCATTACGAAATGTGCCTGGATTACCTGTACAGGAGTATGAATCGTGACTGCTGCCTTTCGCCATTCTTGAGCTGCAGTGGAGTTGGGTGTTGCTTATTGATGGCAAATGAGAAGAAAGCCTGGCACCAACGTTGAGCACAGGCAGTGTGTTGCATCAATGGGAACACATGATTGCTGCTTCATGAAAAGTCTCCAGGCATGCATCTTTTCCTCTGTACGCTAGGTTCTTTCTTTTCTTACCAGCAATGGCGGCTGTATTGTGTTGGTCACAATCACTCATTGTACAGCCGCTGCTAATCATAAAGACATTTTTGATTCTAGCACACTATCGGCGCATTTAGCC